AGATACTGAAAAATCATAATTACCACAAAAAGGTATGTATCATACTAGATAACATTCTAAAAGGCTCTAAAACACCAGAGCGGTGGCCCTTGTACTGTAACTCAGATTCACTGTGCTGTTCTCCCTCTGAAAAGCATCTGCACTGCCAGGCTCAGGGGCAGGCGTACCTGAGAAAGGCTTTTTCTTTACTGCTGTAAGAACATTTCAAATGAGCTCTACCCCCTTAACAGATTTTTACATGCACAATACAGTGTCATTAACTGTAGGCACCACGTTGCACAGCAGACCTCCGGAACTTACTCATCTTACAAACTGAAACTCTAGAGTCACTGAAGAGTTACTCCCTATCCTCTCCCCCCTCCCTCCCAGGAGTCTTGAGCTGTAATTCCGTCTTACACATCACACATGCCCTGCATGCCCCTTGGCCAAGTCAGGTTTTGATTAAACACAAGATCATCTGTGGGGGAAGTAAACAACTACACTCTGCACTGTTCTGATGATGATGATGATGATGACGACGATGACGGTACATCAGAAACACTGACTAAGGAAAAGACTGTGCACTAGTGGCCTGCGGTTTTGTGGGTTTTTTGTTTGTTTGTTTTTTTAAAGAATCAGTTGCTAACAACGTGGAAATCATATTTCACATAAAATCTATATATTCAGTCTCTGAGATGATCAGGTTTAGCAACCCTGGCCTCGCTTTCATTTCCATCTGGCCTTTCTGAGAGAGGCACAGCATTAGAACAAACCTATGTGGAAAACAGCCACTTTAACAGAATAATAACTCTCTACCCTCAAATTACCTCAAATATCTTTGTCTCAGTAGACTAAGAAAAAATAAACGTGTGTGCTGCAGATAGGCAGAAAGGGGAACAATCCAGAGAAATACCAGGGGAAGTAAAAAGATACAATAAATGGGCCTCTAAAATTGAGGGCAATTAAGGACCAGGAAGGTGTTCTGGCCTGTTCCAAGAGTGTATTACTTACCTTCAGGACCACTACATGTGGATCACGTCTCATAATCCATAGAATAATACAACTGCTTAACACTCTGCCACACCCACACCCACACCATCGTCCCAGGCCCTTAGGTTCCTGCTTCCCTCAGACAGCATCTGGGATGGACAGGCATATACCTGAACTGCAGGCTGAGAGGGCTGGAAGTGGGCATGAATTAGTGGTCTCTGCCATGAGCTGGACACTAAAAACTAGTGAGAAATGCCATGGCTTTGCCAACTCTACTCTACTCTTGAGTTCCACAAATAGCTGTTTTGTTAGCTGTCTTCAGTTTCCTCTGAAAGCTTGTACAGTCCTTACCGTAGAGGGCTGTTGTGAAGAATAAATGAAATAAGGCATAAAGAGAAAGCACTCAGCATAGGTCTTAGCCTCTGTATAAATACGCAGATGTAATTTGCTACCAAACAGTAAGCTCTGTCCCTGTGAGGGGATATCTTATACACAAAGGGCTGCTAAACAGTGTCCACGCTAAACCTTACTTTTCAAAACTATTTTCATAGTGAAGTGAGTCTGCAGGTCTTACAGAAGACCTGCTGCCATACATCAAATAATAAGAGGCATCCTACTGTACTTTTAAAAGACAAGGAGGGCTCATGTACAAATGAATACTCATGCTGTTTTATCTGCGATAAGAAATTATGACAACCAAATTAAGATTAAACATTTTAATCAACTATAATAAACCAATAATCAAATATAAAAATTCTGATTCATGCATCAGATTACATAAATTATACAACTGTCATGTTACATAATGCTTACATACATTGGAGTTTGTACCTGCAAAAATGTATACAAGTTACTAGAGCATTTTACTAAGTGTAATACTCTTCAGTTATAAATAACGCTTGTATCTTTCAAATACCTGCTAAATATATACATTTCTAAATCTGCAGCATTTGTTTTTTGTACCTCAAAATCAAACCACCCCTAAGATCGAAGATTGACAGGTCCAAATGTATCATTTGTTACAGACTTCAATTCCACTGTAAGAGTGTATTTTTTGACATGGAAAATAAATGAAATAAAATGTCAACTCCAGTTTAATGCTTGAAGAGCTTCTACACTTCTTGTTAAGTGCACCAGAAAACCCTTCTTATGCAGATTAATTAGTTAAGATGCTACTATTGCATATTAAATACCTCCAATGATTGCATCTGGATTATTAAACTTATAAATCTGTGAAAATGGGGGCTTTCAGTGTGTGCTGACAGACCCTTCCATGTACAATCATGAACCAGCAGCACTGCGATCCTTTCCCTTTTACTTCAAAGAGATCGAGGGAATGAGCATGCTTCATATTTCATTTACACACACACGTGACACCAACCATATCTATAAGACATATGAGCACACAGACATCAGAAAGTTTCACCTTGTTTTACAAATCCAAGGTAGGCTGCTTTTTCTAAACACCTAAGAGGAAAAAAAGTTCTAGCGTAACAATTTCTAGATATATTAAAGACAGCAATTCTTCTTTTTTTTTTTTTTTTTTTTGAGATTCTCCTTGCTAAAGAATAAGCACCCTCATGGGGGTGGTAGGCAGTGGGGTGTGAGGGCGGAGGAGTTGGTGAAGGATGTGAGGAAAGCAAGTCTGTCACTAGCGAGCTGAGTTTTACTTAGGTTTCCATTCATGAAACCCTTTTAAATACAGGCAACATTTTCACAGCTGGAAAATTACAACGAAATCTTCACTTACTGCTAAAAGCAATAGATGCAGTTATGTATAATCTATGGATAATACTACATTCATGGGAGGATGGCAAAACTAGGCTCAATGCAGAATACAGCAGCAAAAAGCAATACTTAAATATTTTTCATGAATGGGTGACACATCATTTTATATACAATTCTAAGATTTATTCCCTGGTATTTAATAAATGAACTTGAAGCCTAAGTGGTAGGACAGTTATGTTCAATACTTTGAAGCTGAATTTTAGAACTGGGAGGGGAGCTGGTTGTAAAACTATACTGTTTAAAAAATATTAGCAGAAATATTTTTAATTATGTAAAAGAAGTATGTTAAGCTTAAGACAGGTTTGAGACTATTATAGACTCTGCAATTTAAAAAAATCCTCTTATTGGTGGAAATATTTTTGAAGATGCAAAAGTAAACTCTGTCTATAAGCCTATTGTGCTGTGCGTTATTTAATGAGTACATATATTTTATTTCCTTGTCTAAGTTACTAACAAAATATACCATTAGAATACTTAAAAGTTATAGTTTGCAAAAATAAACTAATGTGATCTTTTGGCCTTTTTTTCTACAACGCTAAAAATTAAAACTACTCTATTTGCACTTCTGCCCACAAACACAGGAAACACTGTTATGTTTACTTAGGAACTCATTTTTACTTTTTGTTTTTAGTTCCTTATATTGACCAATTGATTATGAATATATATATATAGTCAGTTTGATTCCAGGTCACGAGTGAAAGAAAGTTCGTAAACGCTGGAACAGAACATTTCGGGCAGTGATAAATGCAGATTCAGTTCTCAGTACAATTCTTTTCTCAGAATTAAAGATAAAAATATTGATGCAGTTATAACCAAATCATTAACGTATGGACAAGTCTAATCCTTAACAGTTTTTATACAGGCAAAGAATCCTCCTTAAAAATGAATTTCCTCATAAAAAGAATGGCAGTCCCTTAACCATACTTTTTCATGAGCTCTATTTACATAAAACATATCCCCAGTACAACACTGGCATCATGGTTCATTCCATAAAGAGTAAATTTGGCCAAAGCATATTAAAATATCTGTAGATAATGTCATAATACTGCAAACACATGGATTTTAGTACTTTTAAAAGTGTAAGAAGAGCCTCAGTTATACTAACAACAGAAAAAACAAATACTAAGAATTGTGCAACATTTAATAAATGTTAACTAAAAATGGCACCATGTTAAAAAGAACTACCAAGACCTCAAATGGGAAAATAAAATTCTATACCAGATTGTGAGGTTTATTACAGAAATTTAGAAGTGGAGGAAAAAGTCAGTGAAAGCTATTTCTCCTTGTCTCCTATTAAAAATTATTTAATTTTTTGTATTTCAGAAAAATTTTCAGAATTTCAAAATTTATGCTCTCATAGAAAAACTGAAGAAACTCAGAAAAATACAAATAATAAGGGATTTTAGCTTGTGAACATAAGCTTGGCCAAGTATTATCTGATTCAAAATATTAAACTGAGCAAAACTATTATATGCACTTTGTATTTAACTCTCAATGAAGTCTTAGTAGAGATAAATATTAGACAGAAATGCATTTGGTAAAAGATTGGGGAAGATATGTCTCCATATACAGGTGAATTTTTCATCTTAAATTTCCTTTAGAAAACACAGATTCAGTATTTCATAGTATGTACTTCAGACTTTTAAAGTTAAAAAATCAGCAGATGATTAGTAATATTTTTATATCATTTTCACTTTAAAGACTAATTCTGTATGAAAATTCATGATAGTAGTCAACATTTTTGGGAGCAGACTTAAAAACAATGCTGACACAATTTTGTAATACTGATTTATTCTTACAGGGTGGCTGTAGAATAGTGTAAAATGTCGTGCTAGTAAAGATCTACTCTAAAAACTCAGCCCTCCTTTAGTAACTCTTATTTTGGTTCAGAAACCAAATGCAACCATCTGTTCCATTATTTATGTAACTTGAAACCGAGCCTAATTCTTCATTCCTAGAATTTGTTCATTGCTTTGGGTTATCAGGCATTAGAATGATCACCTACTTTCCCCCCCCTCCAAATTATCTTCAGATATAACTTCCTAATATTTTCTTTGCTAGTACTGAATATTTTAAAGACATTCAGAATCTCAACAAATCACACTTGCTTATCTTCTGCTTATAGCTCAAACAAAACTCAAATATTAAGATAAAAAATTAGTTCAAGAAATTCATGCTGTTGCAAGGTTAATGAAGTTTCCTAAAATACATCGTTCTTTAAAAAGGGGCTTTAGATCATTACTTTTGGAAAAAGAGAAAAGATTTGATGCTGGAATAATATATAGTAGCAGCTTATTTTGAAACCAAGGTTCACATAGTCAAGCGTGATTTGAAGCAGCTTCTGTGTAACAAACCGTTATAGTAGCAATGACGATTTGTTTTGCATTGACAGAGCACACATATATTTTCAAATTAAGAAATCCTAATTGGTATCCTAGTTTTAGAGGCAACTAGTTGTCTTTAAATGTTCTAAAAACACATGTATATATGAGGTATATGCATGTATTTTATATACAAAGATACATGAAGAGATTATTCATGTACATATATGTATATAAAATATGAACTTTTTTTTTAGTAGTGTTTATAATGAGCAGTATTCCTGCAGCTAAATCTGTACAAATTGACTTCTGAGAAACCAACCACAGTATCAATTCTGCTTGATGAGAAATCTGTTCCTGAGGAATAAGTCATGTACTTCTGAAGATACTCTTGGGCCTATGGCAGATTAGTGGGCCGGCACCAGCACCTAAGTGAATCCTAAGGAACTGCTTGTTCACGAGAATCTGGCCCATCTTCACTTTAAGGGTTTAAATTATTTAGCTCACTTCAAAGGTCTCTCTTGATAGTCCCTGCTAATATTTACAGGTGAAACAGGTCTTCACAATGAAGGAGGGTATGGAATGAAACCTGGTAGTGTGGTCTCTCTCAGTAACGAGCGTTTCTCCTATTTTTTCTCTCTTTCTTCCTTTCTTTTTCCCCCAATTATAAATGCAGTACCACTGGCTTATGAACTAGTGGAGAACTTGCCAGCTTTCCTGGATGGTTCGTACGGCACTCTGAGAATGCTGGGCGTCTCCTCCATCACCCTTACGAGGAGGTTGTCGATGTAGTCCTCCAGCTCCCGGATGTGAGAGTCTTTCCTCCTAAGGAGCTCTTTGTGTTTTACCAGCTCCTGCAGTACCTCCTCGTAGGTGAGACTACGATAGCCTGCAGTGGCATCAAAAGGGTTGCTGTCCTAGAGTAGGATAAAGACGGTTACTTTAATAGACAGCACATCAGGGGCAAATTATGAGTTATTCTGAAGTTCAACTGTTTCAAACCTTCGTCAAACTCTTCTCTATCCTTGGCTAGAACCAGTGTGACAGTTCACAGAATGGCTAGCCAGTTCTGAGGAAAGGACTAAAGCAGATACACCAAAGCCTTGATTACAACTCTAAATTCTTAAATATAAGAAACTGACCACGTAATTTAAGATTAAGTTAAGAGATAAAATGCTCAATAATAAACATAATTAAAAGAGACAAAATCAAAAGATCTGTAAGAATTAACTTTAGGAAATATAAGAAGCTATTGAAAACTATACATTTGGATATTAGTTTAGTCCTCATGGAATTGCTTCCGCTGAACTGTAGTTTAATGTTATGCCTTTGCCTTTTTATTGAAGATGGTTATAAGAAACAGCAATATCAACTCTGCTTCTCCAGTTTGCTATGAAATGTTGATGGCATTCAGAACTAAATCCATGAGCATCCTTTATAAGAAGCTCCATGGGAGTAACTACTGTTTTAACTTATAGGCAAATAGAACCTTTTCTCCTCTGAGTAACTAGTCTATTTTCTCCTCCTAGTACTAATACCTATACAATTTATTTTATTTCCCTTTTTGCCTTGGTTGTCAGGAAACTCAAGAGGAGTTCAACTACAGTCATGCTAACACTTAAGATTAGTATATCTGCATTCTCTCCCATTTCACTTACTTTATTTTGTTTAACCTCATTCTATTGGTGAAAATTCTCTTAACACAAAGGTACAAACATAAACCAAAAAAAAGGCATTGATTCAATTCATTTTTATTACAAAGCATCCTAATATTAAAAGAAAAATATTTCTCAGAAATTTAATCAAAAAGGCACTGTAACATCATCTATTTAAAGTGCATATTTAGATGTTTCATTATCTAAAATATAATGCCAAAATATAAAGTAGCAATCTTTATGCCTTCTTATACATAGTTCTATCACTACATTCAACAACTTAAAATGGTTTTCATCACTTTCTTTTCAAACATTTCCATTTGGCTTTAAAGAAAATAAATTAAAATACTGAGGAAATTGGCCTTGCTCTTAAGGACTAATAGTATCTAATCTATTCAGTGGAGGACGGAGAACGAGGACTGGTGAACGTAGAAAGGTCTTTTTTTTCCTTTTTTGTCATAAGAATAAATTTGTCTGTATTCATTTTCAGGATCTATTTTAATTTGCTATGCATCCAGGAGTTTTCATCAGTAAAGCCAAAGTGTAACTTTTTGTCCCCTCCTTGCCAGGCCCCATGACTTTGCTGCACCAGAGAAACAAGCTAGAACACAGATACCAATTTGATGCTTGTGTTACCCAAGCACACTCCCTTCTCTAGGATAAAGGCAAAACAATATTCCTGGCTGAAAACTTCTCCAATCCATAGAATCTCTCAGGTTTTGCAGAGAAGATATAGCTTGCACTAGGCCTTCAAAGATTTTGCCAGGCAGAAATGCGTAATGGGCACCTCAAGCAGTGGCTCTGCTTGTTCAAAGGAGGAAGCAAGGTTCAAGGCACAGTGGCTAATAAAGGTGATCAGTGGAGCACGGCTGGGAAGTAAGGTTCAGGACAGGGCACAGAGAGAGAGGCTGAAACAGTGGGTTCCAAACAGACCATCAAGGATGTCTGATGCTATCACACTTAGTGCTATGGGAAACAGAAAGCCCATTGAAGGTTTCTAAACAGAGGAAAGATGATTAAAGCTAAGTTTTAGGAAAATGGCAGCAGTGGGTAAGATCATTTAGAGGGACCGCGATTAGTTACAAAGCTATTTAAATAGTAAAGACAAAAGTTAGGAGGAGCCTCTACTAGATTAACAGAATAGAGAGGATGCTAAAAGGAAGTTTAAACATGACTCATTTTACCATTAGAAACTGGGTATAGATACAACTTTATGAATTAGATTACCTTTGTCCCCCAAAACATTTCAGAATATTGTTTTACGACAACTAAAGGACAATTCTGGAGATACGTGTTGGTTTACTTTTTATTCTCTTCTCTTTCAGATCAATTAACTTTTTGTTAGAATAAGTATACACACATATTTACTAGTTTAATTGGTCATAAGTAGTCTAGAGATACAAAACTTAGATTTTCCTAAACACATTCCTACTGACATTTATTATACGCAGCAGGTTTCTATAGAAAAGATAAGCCAAACCATAGAGCTAAGTATATTTTAAACATTAATTAAAAATAAGCTAAAATTTCTTACTTTAACCTAAGTAATTCTGCACAAATTTGAGACTGAAACCCACCTAAGTCTCACTTTCCTTCTCTGATAAATGAGATGTTCTCTAAGGTCCCTTTCAACTCTAACATTTCCTGGTCTGCAAAGAGGTTTTTCAGAACTGCATTCTAAAAAAGTGATTATGTCCAACTAATGTGATTTAATTTTTCTAATACAGTATTTACTGAAAAATAGCAGTTCTTGTGAGAACTGCAGGGATTAATGAAATTAAACTAAATGGGATTCATTACCAATTGACTGTTTTACCTTTTTTCTTAATTTAACATAACAAGAGCATCAGACTGGGCCTCTCTTAAGCAAATTATACATATATGAACTGATTTCTCCAAACTAATTAAGTGATAATATGCAGTTAGAAAATCATTTATATTGTTACATTTAACACTATACCAGTGCTAGCAGAGAATGTAGTTAAAATAATTTTTTAACATTTCTCTACAGACAATGAGGATGAAAGACATGTCAAAAAATTCTTATTTTGATATAAGGAGTTTAAATTAATGCCATGATACAAATCAATCTAAAATTTAATCTCTCAAAATAATCAATTATTATCCCACAATATTGTTCAACACTTAAGATATAAGCCATAATCTAGAATATACAAATCCATTATTTGGCTTATTTTTCCCCCTCACAACCATCTAATACTTATGGATAAGCAGATTTCTTGGAAATACAGTTCTGACCTTTTCAATAAATTTTCCATTTGTCCTTTTATGTGAAAAATTTACCCCAAATTTCTGCATCAAGTTTTTATGCAAAAAAACATCTTAGAAACACATGTACTATAAACTATATTCTGGAAAAGAATATAAAATAATTAAAAACAGTTTTATGCTTAGTTCCACATTTTATCCCATATTTGAAAATCATGTAAACCTTCTAATTTTAGGCATAAGATTCTTAAATGGACTAATATACTCAATAAATACATCTATCCTTCTGTTTGTTGATATAATTCCAAATAAAATAAAGATTAATATTAACTAAATACAGTAGGAAATTAAAATATTTTCTGGTTACAAAAATTATTTTGCTTAAAGAGGAAAACTCTCAGGCAAATATAAAAATGAATTATTTTTTCAGAAGATACTTTTAATACTATTCTTAGAAAAACTAAAATTGAGAAATCTCCAAACTGGTAAAGACTCAAATAACCTAACATGGGACTCCTAAGTACTCAATAGTTTTTCCTCTAGCACTCCATATAGATGGCACATATGTTTTTAAGATGTCTTCTTATATTGAAATTTAATGTAAATTTTTCTTCTCTCTTCCCGTTTCATAACCAATCCTTTTTCATTCCTACCCAAACTCTGTTAAAAATTTCCATATGCAGATATAAGAAAATAAGAGTTGGGTGAGTGAAGAGAATTATTACATTAAGTTGTCTAACTGGAATTTTAAATAACAGTTGTGCAAAATACTTTGAGAATTACTAGTGATCTATTTTTACTTTACTCACAGTCTAGCCTTTTAAACTAGGAAATGTATATTTTTTACAATATTTAAATTTCAACAAAAGCAAATTATCAAGACTCAAAATAACTGAAGATTTAAAGAAAGGTTGTCCTGGTAACCAAATATTGGTGGGGTACTAACTGACATCCAAGGCAACTAGAGGAGAGAGAGAGAGATAAGATGAAGGCTTGGCATTCTCTGATCATCTCATTATTGTTCTAATGAGGAACTTTGCTCTGGGAATATCATCTCAGCTACTTTCACATCTTTTGTGCTACTCCCTTCATCTCCCTTTCAGTTCTTAATTAGGCCTTAAAGAGCTCACACTGCCCTTTCAACTGGCTACTGCTCCTGTTTAAACACTGCTTTCACAGACAGGTGTTGGCACTAGCATATAAGACATACAAACTTAATTACAAAATACTATGTCCAGAAGGGAAAAAAATATAACTTGGTGGACAGCTATTATTAAAGAACGTAAGGTAAATTACTTCAAACATCTTATAATCTTCAACATAAAACTTGTTCAAATACTTTTTTTCTATAACGATCAGTATGAGGATGAGCTTTCTCCTCTTAATTGTATCTTGCAGTAAATTAACAACACCTAGTAATCCTTTAACTGTCATTTAGAATAGTTAGTATTCCAGAGAAAAATAATCACACATCAAGGATTCTTTTATCACCTTTAAATCCCTGAACTAAAACAATTTTCACATTTTATTTCTTTAAAGAATTCTAAGGATGCTTTTACAGCAATAAATTACAAGATTTGGAAAAGTACATTTACAAGCACATAGAAATTGTAATTAAGGTTACTTAATAAACAATAGCTGCACATTAAATCGATTTTTTGATGTCGCATTTTGTTTGAGATTAAGTAACCGCCTGATAGAATTCATTTTACTATCTGATCAAAGGCTGACTCCATATATTCTGACGTTTCTCGCCAGTCTGCCATAATATAAAGACTTGAGTATTTATGAAACATCAAAACGTACACATCATGTACATTAAAACAGCAAAAACACAGTACAAAGTCCTCTGCCTCTATAGTGTTTTCTACCATTTTAAAGACAAATGACTGCATTTAGAATGGTTTACACAACACCATGGTTTCTTAGCCTATCGCACCATAGAAGATTGTGATATGCTATTGCTTCGAAAAATTATTACACATCTGGATCACACACATTAAGGACAGATGGTTCAAACAGCAACCACCAGCCTCTTGGAATAAAGGCTCTATTTCTGTTATTCAGTGAGAATTTAGTTTCCTACCAAGACATGTGCCCATATTTTTGTAAAGCAACTTATTCTCTCTAGGCTTAGTATAGTATTTAGAATAGACTGAAGATGTACCGGACCTCGGAACAGAGGTCGAAAACTGGACTTCAAATAACAATGAAATGAAGTTAAGATATCTGAATAATCCTTGCAAAATATGTGAGCTAATTTGGCTGGTCGCTAGGAAGCCTGTTAATATATTTGGTTTTGTTCTGACTTGGAATGTAAGTGTCCTAAAGGATCTTTCACACACACTCCTGGTTAAATGGGTCTCTGGCCAGGAAGCTCTTCCTACTGTTAAATGTTCACAAGCAGGTTTATTCTCCCCTCAACCTGATTTACAACAACAGTAACAAAATGCCAGCTTTCTCCACATGCTCTTATTTCACAACTATAATGTTGACCTGACATACAGCTTTCATATCGATTTTTAAACAGTCTGCAAACAAAACCTGTATATTCTAAATTGGCTTCAATTATAACTATGTTTGCGTACACTTCCATAGATCATACATAAGTCACACCCTATGGTATATTAAAGATAAAGTTTGAATTTTGCTGTTTTTCTTTCTCCCTAAATCATCATACTAAGCTATAATCTGTGGATAACTGAGGGATTCAAGGAGACGGAGGCCTTTTTTAGAAATGTGCCCCAGACAGAAAGACAGCTTGTCGCTTGGTTTTTGGTAATTCTCTAACCCCCTCTGCAACTTACCGGGATTTTCCTGAGGTCTTCATTACTTGTCGGATTCATATGAAAACTGAGCAATAAAAGGCAAACATAAATGTTAAAAGCGTATCATAGTACATGTGGGAGGAAACATAAAAACAGAACATTTTAACCAACACTGCAATAACAATTTCTTAACTCCTATATTACCTGAGTGAGTGAAATTTAATCCAGGATGTAAAAGAAAAACAATATTTACTAAACATTCTAAAGCAGCTACAATTTTAAACTTTGAAGGAAAACCCTTCAGTATTATTAGAACTGAAGAACTGTACCTCTAACATGTACTTTCTAAACATCTTTAAATATAAGCGATTTTACCTAGTAAGATGTTTTATAAAAGTAAATTCTATAATGTTATTATTCATTTTATATACACACACTCACTTACCTTAGGGCTTCTGATATAAAACTATAGAGACTTAAATAAATTTAGGTTGGGAAGACTGTAGACTAAAAGAGTTGAAGCAGTCTTTTAAAACAATTATTTCTATAGCTATTAGAAAAAATAACCTTTAAATGTTATCCTATCAAGGAGAATGAATTCGGAGCTGTGTGAACCATTTCTGTCATTAATGAATTTCTAAGTAGCTGGTCTTCAAAATTTAAATACCCAAATGGACCAAAACAAAATGGATTTCTTGCATGCACAGAGGACGAAAACATCACAGCTGAATGCTATAATCGTTTTCTTCTTTGAAACATGTCCATTAGGAAGGGGACTGGAACCAAAAAGAAGCTAAACTTCAAAGCCATCTGGTGAGTAAATATTTCATCGTTGCTATTCAAGTTTAATTTTTACCCGGCACTTAAGAGTATTAGCCATTAGAACCTCTACAAAGCATTACTGTCCTAGGAACCTTTTTATTCCCCCCCCCCCCCCCCCAAAAAAAAGACTTAACTGTAAAATATATTTTTTCATTATCTGTGCTTTATCAGCCAAATAACTGGAATCCTTTGAAGAAATTCACTTTTAAAACTTTTGACTGTATGCACAAAAAGTCTGGACACTGAAAAGTATCCATTATTACAAGTACATATCCCCAGCTGTAAATCTACAGGGCATGCAGGCATGTACAACCACCTCAAGAGAATTTCTCACATATCCAAGGTTTCATTTGTTATGACTAAGATTTGTAGTACTAGCTTCCAGAACCGGTTGCTGACCTTTTCTACCTAGAACTCCTGTGGATAAATCTGGTATTTCAGTAGAGCTGGGTGACATGGTAGGGAAGATTGAAACATGTTTTAAATACCTACGATGCACCATTTACAGGCCGACTCGGCTGACACATTTTCTCATTCCCTGCACCTCACTGTCTTTACGGTGTTCTGTATGGTCCCAGACTAGAGTCACTGTACTGGCAAAGTCTCAAAAGCCTGACAGAAAAGTGGCTTAAAAGAAAACAAATACAAACCCAAAATACATTATCATGTGGTACCCCTAGGTCTAGAGTGCCGGGGGAGCAGCTGATAACACGCACAGTTCTCAGCCTCCCTGATTCTCAGTCCAAGGAGGTCAACATCAGAGACCAGTGGGACTACTTTCTCTTGCCCTGTGATCTCATAGCATGTTGCTCTCTAATAGGTCAAGAAACGCATTCTGCTGCATCTCTCTCCATCCGACTGTGACATTCTCGAGGACAAACTGATTTTCATTCAGTGTAACGGCACACCTTACTGGTTACAGGCAGAAAAGTGCTTCAGGGCCCTGGAACCAGGTGGTGTGAACTCAAATCCTGGTTCTGCCCTCTACTTACTTGCCTTTGAGTGTGTCTGGGTTCCTTCCTCTGTAAAATGGGGATGGTAACAGGATCTACCATGTAAGACTACCGGGAAGATTAAATGAGTTGAGCACATGTAAAACACTCAGCACAGTGGTTAACAGACAGAACATGTTCAGTAAATTATTTTATTTAATAAACATCTGCATAGCACTTAGAAAGTGCCAGATACTGTGCTAAGCACTTTACCAAAATTAACTCATTTAATCTTCGTAACCCTTAAGGTAGGTATGATCTTCATTTTCAAAAGAAGGAAATGAATCACAGAGAGGTTAGGTAGCTTGTGTGAGGTTGTCCAGTGGATGAGGGTTGGAGGTGACACAGTCCTAGCCCTGTTTTCTGCTCATAGATCTACCTAGTGAGCACAGGCCGCACTGCTGAAGCCCTGAACACACAGGACGCGTGGATTAATCTGATGTTTTGAGTAAGCACACAGGAGAGGTGCCCTTGTAGGGGGAGAGCACCCCTGAGAGTTCAATTCTTAGACCACCCAGAGGAAGGAAACGTTCTATCGCAGCATTAGTCAAGGAAGGTCTACTAAGTCAAAGAAAAAGCAGAACTTAAAATTACATGACGGTTAGGTTCGGCAGGCCAGAGAAAGAGGGCTCTGAAGACACATGCTGTCTGGGGCTGCCGGACAGCGGTGCCACTGCAGGACACAGAGCAGACTGGCACACAGGCAGCGGGATGGGAAGGAGCCCCTGAAGGGTTGTCATGCAGAAGATGAGGCTCTTAAGAGCTGATCCATAGAGCAACAGGCCATTTTTGACAAATTTAATCTTTCATAAATGTTATTTAGATGTTTCATATCTATCCTATCACATCCTTGAAGAATAAACAGTATTATGACTGTATAAATTTCATTATATGTCTCAGGAAGAAATTATTGAACTGAAAAATAGAAACGCTGGTATTATATTAATTGTAATAAGAGTTTTGAAGGAACAGACATTTAGGACAAAAATTTTATCAAAATCACGAACCTAACCATATGTACTATCCAACGTCTTCAGCCTATGGGGCTAAAGTGAAACTCAGTGACAACCTGCGAAGTGTCTGAGAATTCTCAAGAATGGTCACAGCTGTGAGGGAAAGGGGTGTGGAACACGGCGAGCCCCAGCTCTTTGCCATTGTACCTGAGTGTACCTTAAGCTCGCCCACACTCTCCAGCAGCCCAGTGCAGCGATCTGAGGCCAGGGCTCTGGTGCTGGCCATTGTCTGGAATCTAAAGGCAGAACCCCGCCCCTGTGTTCAGCTTTATATTCACAAACTGACGTGTGAAATACATGACCAACTCAGTCATTCACAGCTGCTTTTTTTGATCTGTCCTTAAGTGGGAAAAAAAAAAGTTAACTGAACTGGATGAATTAGCTTGGGGAAAAATGTCTCTTTCGAAGTGTGGCACCAATTTGTGCTATCCTTCTTTTTGGACTGCTTCCTCATGTCAGACAAGATACTGAACAATGTAGTCTGCTCAACTGAGTTGCTGACAGGTTAAGGAAAATGGTGTTTTTAGTCATGTATAAAAATAAACTTAGACATGCTCACACTGAAAAAGTCTACACAAATTTAAACTTCAGAATTCAAAAAAATTAATTTTTGAAATCAGAACTGAGTTTGGTGGCAGCAGAGGATTTTAAAGTAACTTTGAGACTGATAAAAATATTTTTAAATTCGTATTTTAAAAAATAGTTTAAACTAATAAAATGCTTTACCTTAACATTCTGAAGTCTTTAGGTTTAATAAAAGCTTATTTTTTACCTTGTGATCTTTCCAAATTTTAAAGAATTTTTCCTGGTAAACTCTAAATTTTAAAATTAACAGTACTCAAATGTATTTCAAGGAATCATTAGTATCTCTTCACATTAATTTACTTTGAAGTTAGGATAAATACTGAGTAAGTAAATTGGTGAAACTCGAAACTGTCCTTCAATTTCTGCTATGGACTAGTCTTCCATAGATAAGCCAGAAAAGCAAACCAACATTTATAAAGTGATAAAACTGACCACTACAGAAATCACTAAAGCATCTGTCAGTGATCAGAGTTTTCTTCTATGTCCTTCCTTTTCTCTTTTTAAAACTCTTTTTGCTCTCTTTTGGAGCAATACACCTAAGAAAGGGAAGAGACTATTAACAGTGAAAAAGTCCGTCATGACAAAAAAAAAAAAAAAAAAAAAAAAAGCCCACAGAAGAACAAAGATCTATTAAAACTGATTAACTAGCTGCCTTGTCAGTATAAGACAATGCAAACTGTGTAAATTCCTGGCTCTAGGGTTTTAATCTTTCAAGGAGAAGTCACGTAACAACACCTGAAGTTCTTTCCAAGGCATTTAAAAACAACTATTATTACATCTTCCATGATACCTCTTTCCAAGCCCTGTTACTGCTAGAATTATAAAGCTAAGTCCACTTTGGCCTACAACTTGACTCATTTTGTATTTAATAAGTCAATTAAAGTTATTTGCAAAACTCAGGAGGTGTCCTGCTTGTCTGGGAGGTGGGGCAAAGAGAGGAAAGCAGAGTGGAGGAGTAACTTTCTTAAACACCATTCAATTTCTTATGGTGTATAGGAAATAAGTATAACTTTATCACAGAAGAACTTCGGACATTAATTCTTTTCAAAGGAGAGTATCCTACTGATCTTCTTGTTTAGCTGGCAGAGTGGGCTCTGGAGACCTGGCGCTTCACTTTGGTGACAAATGTAGTTGAGGGGGAGGGGCGTAAACTGAGGACTATACCATAATACAAAACCTTTAATGAGTCTGAAAGGAAAAGAAAAATACACCATTTACAGTGAAGCAAGGGCAGAGAGTAATGACACCGGCCTAGCAACGACTGGTATTACTGGACTTTAACCATGAGCTCAGAGACAGCTGGTTTCAAGGAGGCCAACACAATTTCCTGAGGATTCTTCCAGTCAGAATGACTAAGAAAAGTGCAAGACTTAGACAATCTTAAAGAGACAGAACGAAGGCTGAAAAGCAACAGGTACTGAATTTTTTCCTGTTTGCCTCTCCTGCTCCATTCTGCCCCTCCCTGCACCCCAGAAGGCTGATCTCTGGAAAGGGCATCGCCTGGGTCCCCTTGCCCATTGGCTTCCAGTTGTGCTCTGCCACTGGGAGGCACCTGCAAGAGACTGGAGGACAGAAAGAAGGGGAGACAGGGTATTTATTCCAGCCCCATCCTACCAACCTCTTCAGTCCCCCTGCTGCACTGCAGCTTTACCAGTAGCTTCTGTACAGACAGC